AAAATGTGAAAACAAAGAGAAAATTGATTTTTATTTCCTTCGGCACTAATAGTGTTACTCAATTTCAATTTTCTTTTCTACAAAACAAACATAATGATCAAATATATTTACAAAAACATATGTACACGTATTCAAAGAGTACAGTAAATTCACCTTTTTACTTACAACCACAACAACTACGAAACATTCGAGGTCGCAGGAACCCCGTAGTACCGGTACCGATCAAAAAGGGGGGACGGTGGTACCCCAGCCGCGGCCACTCAGCTAATGGGCGTGAGAAGGGCCTAACTGACCGCTGAGTGGCCGTGAAGTTCCTCTCAACACGCCGAGGGGGGCGACGACGCCCCCGCCCCTGGGGGAACGACCCCCCGACGAGTCGGGGGAGGGACACCTTTCAAACCCAGGGCCACGGTGGCTGACAGGTGAGCGTCGAGCGTCGCCCGACAGAGGGCGTGGCTGAGCGCCCCCGCCCGTGGGGGTCGAGGGCCCGGCAGAGCCCCGAGAGGAGACGACGTTTGCACCCAGGCACAAAACTGCATGGTGATTGCCCTGGCAGTGCGGACAAGGCCGCTGGTGCAGGCAGTCTCGCTGGAGGTGCCTTTCCAAACACGAGTAGCACCAGCGGCGCTCCTTGGCGATAGTTCGCCTCGCCGGAACCGGCTTACCCAATAACTTCGGGCACGACGTCACCCTGTGATCGGATGCGCGACAATAGGAGCAGAGGGGCGCCTTCCTGGCCGCTAAGCCACTGTAAGATGGTAGGGAGCGGCGCCCTCCCGCGGGAGCTCCGATCGGCCTAAGGAGGGTTGGCGGCGACTTGCCCGGCTGATTCTGCCTCTCACTGGGCACGGCTCGGTTGTCAACCCGTAAGTTGCCGACAGTGCCCTCTGCGTTCTCAATTTGTAGGCACTGCTCCTCCAAGAACCGCAGCAGATCACTGAAGAGCGGAATATAGGAGGCGCCGTTCGCGCCGTACGTCTCCTTAAAATGTATCCGAAGGTCGAGAGGCAGGCGTGACAGCACGATGTGGAGCAACAAGAAGGACCATTCATCCACCGGTAAATCCAGCCGCCTCAACGCATTACAGGCCACCAAGACTGGATTCACGATGTCCGCGCGTAGTCTGGCCCGGTCCCTAAGCAGCGGGAGGCTTAGAAGTAACCTAAGTACGAAGTGCCTAACGTATTCGTCCGCGATTCGCCGGACGTTGGCGTATCTTCCGGCGAGGAGGTCCCGAGCAGTCTGGTAGGCGTCGTCCGATGCCCAGGGCCTCCCACTCCAGTAAGGCTAGGAGGTACGCCATCTTCTGGCTTGGTGTCAAGTCCCTCCGGGCGTCCACTAGACTATTAAAAAGGCCAACAAAAGTCATCCAGTCGGAGAGTACCCCGGAGAACCTTGGCAGGTTCAGAGTTGGGAGTCATCCCAACAGCTCCGGCTGAGTAGGCGGCTTCTGAGGGGACTCGGCTAGGCCACTCAGCCGAGCTTCACGCGCTTCATTAGCATACTTGGCCCCCGCCTCGATCGATAAGTCGTCCGTGAGCAAAAAAATTTTCTCGTAGTCCGCGAGGCAGGAGTCTAGTACTCTCTGTTCCGCATCCGAGGCCAAAAGCTTTGTGCAAGCCTCCTCCACTACGGCCCTTTGGGCATCGACCTGCTCGAGCCGCTTCCCTAAACTATGGACTCGATCGGGTCGCCATACCAAATTATAGGCATACGCGGCCCAGCGCAGCTCCGCCTGCAGGCGAAGCGCCGGATGCTTGTGTGACGGCATCACTAATAAATACAATTAACTACGCGGCTCAAATACAAATCAATTAACAAATACAATTACGATCAAATCAAGTTAAATACAAATTACACAAATACAAATTACTATGGGGATGGGTCTGCTCGACCGGAGAAGGACCACGCTCTTACAGAATACCAACGTAAAATAGCAGCTTAACACTGCGGTGTTTCGTATGGTGAGTGTAGAGAACCGTAGACCCTTTTTACTGGAAAACAGGCATCCCATCTTAGTCCTCACGGGTAACAACGCATCTGCATTTTGATTCGCAAACGGGGATAGATGTAGATGTCTATGGGCCACAGAAACCACTTACAATCAGGTGGACTGTGTGCTCGTTTGTCCTATAAAAAAAATAACTAGGAACAAACATAAGCATGTAATGCCAGTTACTGGACTCCACAGATTCATTAACTCATTTATGGGGCAATATACACAATTAAAATAAAATCGAAGAATATGTTCAAGGTTTATCAATAAAAAAATTTAAGTTTTATTGAAGAAAAACTGCACAAAAAGGGTTATTATAATATCAAGGAATACATGATGAAAATAACACATGGGAATAAGGTGATCGCCACCATGCTGATTCTATGAAAATGCATTCGAAAATTGTATAAACAAAATTATTATTAAGTGAAATATGTTTAAAAAAAGTCCCGCTGGGTTTCTTGCTGGTTCTTCCCAGGACAGAGGTATTTTCTGAACCTGTGGTAAATTAAAAATTACTTTCAATAAGTATTATGTAATAATCAACATTGCATAAGGAATCATTCTATTCTATTCTATTATAAACCGTGATTTTTCATTACGATGTTTTATTTTAAAAACGGCTATCTGCAACGTATTTAGAAATAATTTACACGAATAGAACCAATATCACCTAACTAACACAGTACACTAAATAGACTAATATTAAGTTAGTGTAGTTATGTCGATCTTATTTCAGCATTTTTTCTTTTTTTAATACGTATAAAAATTTCCAGTATCTTTCTATTCAAAGTAGATTTTTATGTCTCCAGTAAAGTTAATTTTTTAGAGATAGATTGATTCTTAACCATTGTTATATATAAGCGATATAAGGCGACCGCACGTCCCTTCGTAGTTCCCTGGAGCTTCGTGTACGCGATACATTTATTTTTTGACGGTGACAAAATCTCTTATGCCACCATGTCACATTAATTTCCAGTATTACTTAGACGTAGTGTTAAGACTTGTTGATAAATATTATACCTAAGTTTTTTAGAACTTTAGGCCAAAATACTTAGTGTGAAAATTTTACAAGTTGCGTAACTACTTTTACGTAGCCTAACGGGTTAAATTATAATTTGAATCAGACGTCGATCCGATCGCTCAAAACCTTTATGAACTAACTTATATATTTCATATTTATAGTTTGGTCCCCGGTGATTTAAAAGGTTCACAGTGTTACGAACCCTTTCAATATATTATTTAGTAATTTATAAGCCGACAGAATGAAGTGTCTATTTTAATATTAATTGCATTCTCTTGTTTATAAACATATGTTTGGAAATCTATTGAAAACAATTGTGTGAACCTTGGGCGGGTATTTTCGATTGTGTCGTGTTTTAAGTAAATTAAATATTCAGGGGAATTGATACCTAACTTAATTTATAATAACACATAACTTTTTCAGTGCGAACATTTTAATAAAATTATTTTTATAAATTAAATTAAATAAATCAGGAGATAGAAAGAAGTGTCTTCCTAATAACGACTAAATATAAAAAACTGCGGTTGTCAACTCGCTTGAGAAGCGTGGCAACTATGGCAAATACAGTACTCCCGCATATAGAACTGTGATTAGCGGTAATAATTAATAGGTTGGAACGGTAATGTTGAAAATACTGAATGAAAACGGGTGCCACGAATTGGTAATTTGAGTTTAGGTAAAAGAAAGAAGTCGGCTGGAACCTTCTCGTGAATAAGGTGGTTTATGGATGGTATTTGTTGAGTTTTTGGTCAAAAATTCCATCACAATGATGGCCTTGTTCGAAGACGCATTATCGTGGTGCAAAATCCAAGAATTTTCTTTTCACAAATCTGGCCTATTTCGTCTAATTTGCTCTCTTAAACGCCTCATGACGCTTAAATAATATTTTTTATTTACCGTTTGATCGCCCGGCAAAAATTCCGATTGCAAAACACCGCGATATTCAAAGAAAACAGTCAACATAACTTTGACTTTTGATCGACTTTGGCGTGCTTTTTTCGGTTTCGGTTCAGTTGGAAGGCGCCACTTCGAAGCTTGTGGCTTCATTTATGGGGCAATGTGTACGTCTTTACAACAAAATCCCAGAACATGTTTGAAGTTTGTCAACAAACAAGTTTAAAAGTTCTGTTAAATAAAAACTGGACTAAAAGGACTTTGGCGTGCTTTTTTCGGTTTCGGATTAGTTGGAAGGCGCCACTCCGAAGCTTGTTGACTTGTTTGCATGTCAAACTCGTAAACCCACATCTCGTTACCAGTAACAATTCGTTTCCTGAATGTTGGGTCAGTGGCTCTTATGAGATTGTATTTTTGGAGAAAATTCTTGTCTTTTGGGACCAGCCGAGCGGCAACATGTTTCATACACATGTGGTTATTTAAAATGGTAAGGATTGACTTGTGAGACACAGAAATTTTGAAGGCTATCTCTCTGTACTCTTTCAGAGTGGAGGCGGGCGCGGGTGCTAGCGCGGGCGCGTGTAAATCAAAATGTATGTAGACGCCAGTTGCATTCAGAGTGCTCCCGCGCGCCGCGCGTCTGCATGAGGTGGGTGCGGGCGCGGGCGGCGCGGGTGTTTCTAATGGCTCAGTCCGCTCGCATCGTTCACAGTGAATTAGCGTCTGTTAGGTGACTACGCCTGTGGTTCTAAACCGTTTTGATTCACCCGCCGAAGCGTCGTCAATCATGGATATCAATACTGAAGAATTTATATCTGCAGTACAACATCGCACTGCTATTTGGCAGAGCAAACATCTGCAACATTTAAATAGGATGGCCATAAATAAATTATGGGAAGAAATAAAACAATTGTTTCCTGGAAGTAACGGTTAGTTTATTTTCATATAATTGTTAAAATTACAGATTATAACTACCTATAACTTTAGAGTAGGTAGATATGTACGTGCTAGTTTAATGTGTAGGTAGGTACTAACAAACAACAAATTAATCTACCTATCAACATTACATATGTTTAAACTGAAAAATTAATAGGTATGTTCATAAAAGTAATTCATAAACTTGTCACGAATTATTTTTGCTTGTCTTGTAGGATTTCTATCCGAGTTACGCATTACATTTTGCATGTTATTATGGTTGAATTCGGCTGTAGCCCAAGTATGACAATCTGGATCAGCGTCACCATCTAAGTCTAGTATAATATTATGTAATAAACATGTTGTTTTAATAATCAAGCAAGCGTTCTCTCGACTGGTTTCAATAGATTTTTGTAATATCCTCCATTTCGTGCTTAGAATACCGTAGGCACATTCAATTGTTTGCCGCGCTGTAGATAATCTTCTGTTAAATAGTCTTCTTTGCACGTTCAATGTGCTACGTGGAAAGGGTCTTAACAAATAATTTTTCAATGAATACGCTTCATCAGCTACGAGCACGTAAGGGGCAATTATGTTTGAATGTGGTAACTTTTCTGGTTTTGGAATGTTGAATTTATTTTCCTCTATTAAATGGCGCAAAACAGAAGCATGAAAAGTACCACCATCGCTTTGTTTTCCTCGTCCACCCACTTCAATTGCAATAAATTTCCTTTTCGCATCGGCTACTCCTTGAAGTACTATCGAATAAAATTTTTTATAATTAAAATCAAGAGATCCACTATTTTTTTGTTTTTTAATTCGACAGTGCTTTCCATCTAGACTGCCTATGCAATTAGGAAAATTCCAAAGTCTATAATAATCTTCCGCTACCATTTTAAATTGTAGTTCCGTAGGAGGAGGCATGTGAATACCTACTAACTCATTCCATATTGCCATACATGTTTCATGGACTAAAGTTGAAATGGTACTTACACCCATTCTAAAACTGTGTGACAATGCTGTAAAAGACATGCCAGTTGACAAATATCTGTAACAAAGTATTAAACACAAATTATTTTCAGATAAACAGCTGCGAAAGAAATGGAAAAATTTAAGGGACCATTTTCGTAAAGAACTAAAGAAGTTTCCACCAGCACGCTCAGGTGATCCAGGTGATACTCTACAGTCCACTTGGCCTTATTTTCAACAAATGTTATTTATTAAAGATGATTTAACTGCTGAACAATCTTCCGGAAATTTGGATGCAGTAACACACAACATTTCACAAGACCATGCCGATACAGATGAATCTAGTGTAATAACTGATGTCACTGATACAGTATCTCAATCGAGTTCAGGAAGCAAAAAGCGCAAGTGTGCTTCTGATTACAGAGAGCAATTTATTGAACTCGAAAATAAAAAAATTGAGTTACTTCAATTGAAACTTTCGCAAGCAACCACATCTTCAAATGATGGTGAAGAGAAATGTGAAGATTATTATTTCTTTAAAAGTCTCATTCCACAAATGAGAGCATTTCCGCCATTACAAAAACTGCGAGTAAAGAACAAAATTATGCAATTATTAATGGCAGAGACAGAAAAATTGGAGTACGAAAGACGATATGACTCATATAGCTTTAATACCCAAGGCAACGTGGATTTCAACCCTTATCACAATATGGATAGACAGTAATTAATTAACTACTCTATAAACGTAATTTTTGACTGATTTATAGATTTTAATTAAGAATAAATAAATGAATATTATTGATTAAAACAAATGTTGTTTCGATATGGAAACATGCACTTACCTTATTGTTATAAGCAGTTTCTCTTCAGGTTTTATACTTTTTCTAAAATTGGTGTCAATCTTGACTAAACATGGTGAGATCTTATTTAATATGTAGTCAAAAGTGTGTAATGACATTCTCGTGTATTCAAAGAATTTATCGGGATACGTCCGTAAATCAGCGTATAATACATAAAATTCTCCAAACTCTTCTCTTCCTTTATTTAAATCGTGTGTGCCAAACTTCATATATTGTAATTTCCATTTCAAGTATGAATTTTCCATTAATAAAAGCAAATCTTCATCCATGTCTTCTAAATACGTAGCAAAGTTTGAGAACGACCAAACACATGTGTAATGACACTCGTAGCTCGTTCGGCACTATGAATACGTAGACGCTAAGACCCGAGCGCCCGCACCCGCCCCCGCACCCGCTAGTGCAGTCTGATTGGGCGCTCTCTTAAGCTTGAATGAGAATTTTCTGTCACTATTTCCTTTACTATTGCGATGTTTACTTCAGTTGCAGACGTTGATGGCCCACCAGAGTGAGGCAAATCTCCCATCACATCTCGACCGCTTTTAAACGCTTTGTACGACTCATAAGCATGTTTTTTTTTTGTTAAATTCGATTCACTGAACATGAAATTCAAATATATGTACCATATACGCTCGATATGATATAACTAAAACCAGCTCTGTATTTAATCTAAATAACAGATTTTACTCAAATAACCGCGCCATATTGGATATCATTTGCGACAATCCAACAACAAAAAAAAATTGGAATTTGGAACCAAAAACCATTCCCGATACTTCTTTGTTTGAATGTATGTATATATGAACGTATGTATGAATTGATTGGAATTTATAATTAATTTTTATTAGATGGTAGGACTCTTGTTTTTTACTAGGAGTGTATAATTGCTGTGTCTATGGGCTACAGCATTAACTGACCTAACATTACACGTGGAGTGTGTGCTCGTTTCTCACCCTTATTGTGTATTAAAAAAATGCTTGAATATAAGCAAACTCAAATTTCTTCACAAGCCATAAAACCTACTGTTATAAAATAAAGGGCCTGCAATTTATTAATCTCAAGAAAGGTCAAACTTTTATCGTTATACGCGATCTTTTATAACCCGAAGACAGTAGTAAACTTTTTGCTGACACATAAGCCCTTTTTATTAGTCTCATAAAATTATGTTTATATCAAGGCCTGTGTAATGATCAGCATTATATTATAGGTAATAATGGTATACACATTATTCATATTATATACATCATTTACCTTCACCATCATCGGCCTATACGCAGTTCGCCGCTGGAAATGGACCTCTACCAAACCATCAGGTATATTAGGTAATTTTGATAATTAATAGCATTATAATTAATTAGCTAATATGCGATAAAAACAATATTTTGGAAAATCCAAAAGTGTAGGACTCATAAGCGTTTTATTTAATTTTGATAAAAAAATAAATTCCCAAAATAAATCGATTACACTAAGTCTAAAATCGATATAGGTTCTATGGTACATTTGTTCTTTGTCTATCAAGGGCCAAAAAATGAAGTCGAAGTTATTAAGTGGAAAGTACATTTATAAAAAAAGATAAAAGAAAAATTAATCACAAACTACGCGTACGCGTACAGGCTATTGATATTAAAAAAGTATGGTCATTTGAGGGCAACATAAGCGTTAGACTGCCTGATGGGTCTCGACGTCAAATCTTTAGCGCTAATGACATGGATGCACTACTGCGCGATCTTCATAAAGCTGGGTGCAAAGAGGAGCCGGAACAAGTGAAGGCAGGAACTAGTAGTGTAGTTTCCCGTAGCGAGCAGCCAAGGACCCGACGAGCATTCAAAAATAAGTAAACATTCTCGGGATAGTGGTAATACTTTGTTTACACTTCGACGGCTTATTAATTACTACTACTGCTGTGTGTACTGTGTACGTCACTGAGCGCTTTTGTATTCGATCCTTTTGTTCTCCGCAACCGGTTATTAGGCTGATTTGCGACACAAGTAATAGTACAGACTAATCTGAACCTTAAATTTCGTGAAATTACGCATTAGAGTATTTTTTTTCTCGTTTAAATTACCACTTCTCGTAGTGATTAACATATGTTTTTTTTTTCCTTCTTTTTCAATACGTACGAGTTTTGTTGTCTATGCAATTGTAAATAATTAAAATTAGATAGTTTCTTGTAGTAAGTATTACTTGTTGTTTTCGTGTAATATTTTAATTTTTCTTTTTGTAAACAGTTTACCGGCGCGTTTGTTTGCAGTGCAATTATCAGTTAATAGGGTTTTTTTTTCTATATTTTTAGACATATATCATAAGTATAATCATATATTATGACAGATTCTGATACCAATGAACTATTTCTCTCTGTTGATTCAGATTCTTCTTTCTTTTCACTAAATGACTCTTTTTCGGAACCTACTACTCTTCGTTATCTGCTTACTCAAAAGTTTCATGGTTTGACTAATAACTTTAACGTTTGTTACATTAACGCTCAGAGCATTCCGCAACATTATAATGAACTTGTTGATACTTTTCATAATCAGTCTATTTCTGTGATACTTGTTTCGGAAAGCTGGTTAAAACCTACCTTACCGTCCACCTCCTTTGGAATACCTGGTTTTGTCCTCTTAAGAAATGACCGTACGGGCAAAAGAGGTGGTGGTGTAGCGGTATACTTACGTAATGGTATACCCTATAAAAATTATGTGCTTCTTCATCTGTTTATTCTGGTACAATAGAATACATGTTCTTGGAGATTACCATCAGTGGGACTAAGACTGTTCTCGGTGCAATTTACTGTCCACCAGGAGTTAATTATTTTTGTGACCTTGAATCGGCTCTTTTTTCTATTGGCTCTGATTATCAACACTTTATTATAATGGGAGACTTCAATACCGATATTCTCTGTAACTCAGCGAGGTCACGTGAATTGTATACAGTTATGAACTCCTTTAATTTGTCACTTCTTCCTCTCGACCCCACACACCACAATCTTGATACTGCTGATTCTTTAATAGATTTAATAGTGGTCGCTTCTGAAGACCATGTCGTTGGCCACGGTCATCTCTCCGCCCCTGGGTTTTCGCAGCACGATTTACTGTATATTTCATATAGGATTAAATGTCCTAAGGTCAATCATGTGACGGTGCATCTGCGTAATCTAGCGAGACTTAATGTTGAAGAACTTCAGCAAGGTGCTTGTAGTATAGATTGGAGTAATACTTTCAGTGTGGAGAGTGTTGACGAAAAAGTAGCTCTTTTTAATTCAAATATACAGAAGTTGTTTGATAAACACGCTCCTCCACACAAAGTCAGACTGAAACGATCTCCTGCGCCGTGGATTACTGAGGATATCCGCAGGGCTATGGCAAAGCGTGATCGAGAATTTAGTAAATATAAGAGTAATCGGTGTACTGCTAACTGGACTCAATTCAAAGCCGCTAGGAATCGGTGTAATCAGATGGTGCGGGCCGCTAAACGCCGTTATATTCATCGAAATATCCTTAACGCTTCTATGGCTGATTCGTGGAAATTTTTAAAATCAATCGGGATAGGTAAACCTGCTTCTAACTTTGATCCTTCAATCTTCTCTGTTAATCAACTTAATACATACTTTTCTACTGCACCACAGCTGCATTCGTCAATTAAATCTACTACTATTGCCCATGTTAATTCTCTTCCAAAATTTTACAAAAGCTCTTTCAATTTTTCTCCCGTTACTGATGAGGATATAAAAAAGTCAATTTCTTCCATCAAGTCCGCCGCAGTAGGCTCTGATGATGTGAGCAGAATCATGATCAATCTCATCCTCGATTATGTCTTACCAGTACTTACCCACATAGTAAGTTTTTCATTAAATACTGGGGTTTTTCCTTCACTATGGCGAAATGCTTTTGTTCTCCCACTTCCAAAAATAAATAATCCTAGTTCTGTTTCTCACTTCCGTCCTATCTCTATTCTTCCTTTTTTATCAAAAGTACTTGAAGCTGTTGCTCACAGACAAATTTCTGACTACGTCTTTAAAAATAACTTTTTAAGTAGCTATCAATCAGGTTTCAGGCCAGGACATAGTACAACAACAGCCCTGCTTAAAGTTACGGAAGATTTACGTATAGGTATGGAGGAGTCAAAATTAACTGTGTTAGTCTTAATAGATTTCTCAAACGCTTTTAATGCTGTTGATCATGACATCCTTCTTACAATACTTTCTCACATTGGTTTCTCCTCATCAGCGCGGGAATGGTTCGCATCCTATCTTCAGGGACGTCAGCAGGCTTTTCGCGTGGGTCCAGTTATTTCTGACTGGTGCACGCTGGTTGCTGGCGTTCCTCAAGGCGGAATTCTCTCACCTCTTTTGTTTTCAATTTTTATAAATCTAATTACATCTCACATTCGCTGCACGTACCATCTCTATGCCGATGACTTACAAATATATGCTCAGTCTGATGTTAACGATATCGAAGATGCGATCACTGAGCTAAACTCTGACCTCACTCGTATCTCTGATTGGTCTAGCAAATTCGATATTACTGTTAACCCTACCAAGTGTCAGGCAATTATAGTTGGAAGTAGCCGTCGCTTATCTGCATTGGATTTTAATTCACTGCCACCTGTAAATTTTAATAATGCTGTCATACCTTATTCAGCTACTGTGAAAAATCTAGGACTTATCATTGACAGCAGTCTAAGTTGGCGGCCGCAAGTCACGGAAGTAAGCAAAAAAGTTATCAACACCTTGCGTTGTCTGTATCGACTCAAGAATTTTCTTCCAGTGAGAACAAAGGTAATGTTGGTTCAAACGCTCGTATTACCAATACTAGATTATGCAGATGTATGCTATGCTGATGCCTCTCAAGAACTTCTTAACAAACTGGATCGTCTTCTCAATAATTGTATTCGCTTTATCTTTGGCTTACGTAAATTCGATCACGTTTCTTCATTCCGTTCTCAGCTCAAATGGCTGCCTCTTCCACTTCGTAGATCTTTTAGAATCCTTTCTATGCTATTCTCTATTTTACACGATCCGTCTGTCCCTGCATATCTGAAATGCAAATTTCAGTATCAGGACGATTCTCACAACCGATGTCTCCGTTCCGCGGAAAATCTAACTCTTCATGTTCCTTTCTGTCGCACGGGCTTCTCTTACAATTCTTTCACTTCAAATGCAGTAAGACTCTGGAACATGTTACCCAGAAATATAAAAGAAGCAAAAACTAAACCTATCTTTAAACGTTTGCTCTGGGAATATTACTTAACGAAGCAGCAGTAGTTTCGGATAATA